GCACCGAGAAGAATTTCTAGGGAAAAGGCTCGGCAATTGATTTACGGGCATGCCCTGACCAATTACGGTCGTAATTTGGCAGGGGCTGCCCGTAATTCCTCTTGTGAATCGCCATCTGACCTCCAAATGACCCGAAACTTGCGCCTATGCACCTCTTTACTTGCTAGGACCTGAAATACGACAAAACAACACAACCTAGCGTAAAATAGGCCACGGAACAATCAATTCGAGCCAAAATGGACAGTAAACCAGAGTGAAAACACGTGCAAATACGATGCTATCAGTGACAATTGTTGATGTCAGACGCCATTCCATGAGAGGACTTGAGGATCCTATGATTTCGCAGCAAATCAACGGAGGAACTAGTGGGGTTGAGGGCGCGCAGTTCTGGACCAAAGATTGACACAACTCAATCTTGGTCGAGAGATCCTCCATTCTTGGAGATAGAAAATTGATTGATGTTTGGAGTTGTATCTTGACGAATCCCTTCTTCGGGCTGAATATCTTGCATGCCCATCTCGTTGGGATCACGATTCTTGAAGATAGCAACTTGATTTTTGTTTGGAGTTGCATCTTGACGAATCACTTATTCGGGTTGCAGATCATGCATGTCCATCTCGTTGGGATCCTCGATTCTTGGAGATAGCAACTCAATTGATATTTAGAGTTGCATTTTGACGAATCCCGGCTTCGGGTTGCAGATCCTGTGTATCCACCTCGTTTTGCTGGATTGACGGTTGTTGGTATTTAGGGCTGGTAACCGGTTCGGTAATGGTTAACCGGTTACCGACTGAACCGGTTACGGTATACCGACAACGTCAAAATGGGGATCGACTACCGGTACCGAATTCTAACCGGTTAACCGGATAGCCGGTTACCATCGGTTAATACCGAGAAACCGAGAGGCACTGCTGAGTGCGGAGAATCTTCACTTCGTCTTCTCTTCTCCCTCAAAGCCGACCACCACCAGATGCTTCTTCACCTTCTTCTTCCCCTCTTCATCAACAGCCAACAGTATCTCATCTCATCCTCCCTCCTATCCACCGCCAAAGCCCATCTCCCCACTTCTTCACCTTCTTCCTTCGACCCACCCCCTGCATATGCATGCCTCAATTCGTTCCGCCGCCACTCAGATCTGACTCTCAGAGAGACGACCAGAGAGAGTCGCTGCCGTCGGCGGATTGTCAAAACCCCACCGCCGATTTAGATTTCAGAGAATGATGTGGTTTCTGGCGGCTCGACGAGAACATGCCGGCGACGAATCGATCTTCCTCTTCCCTAGTCACCGGCGTTGAATCGATCTTCCTCTTCTCTTGGATCGAGGCCAATCGGCTCCCAGCTGTCGTTGCTTGATCAGCTACTGTCTCGCCCTCTGCATCGCGGCGGAGCAATTGCAAACCCGTTCGCGGAGGAGCTACGGCGAAGGGACTATTTCAGGAGCTGATCGATGACCTGAATCTCTTCGTACAGAGAAGGGTCTATTTCAATAGCGTCGGCCGGGCCTGGAAGTGCGGGTAACTTCTCTACGGACCTCCGGGGACCGGGAAATCGAGCCTCGTCGCTGCCATTGAGTCGTGATTTTGCTGCGTCTTCCTATGTCAAATCTTTCTCTTTGCCTAGATCTCCCTCTTCTACCCAGATCGGCAGCGGAAGGCAGGGGTCGATTTTGCAGGGCTTAAGGTTGGCTGCGGGCTGCTGCTGCTTTTGATGGCGGAAGTGGGTAGTTGGATTGGAATAGAGACTGAGAGGTAGAAAGAAAGCAGGGGAAGATAGTGAGAATGAGAAATAGGAAGAATGACGCTATGGAGAAGAGGATTGTTTGCGTTCCCGGTATTCCGCGTAATCGGATAACCGGCGGTAAATACCTGGATAGTAGTCGGTATACCGCCAGCCCCAATCCCAGTTCCGATTACCGACACCGTCGGTTAACGGTGTAACCGGTAACCTCCAGTTACCGATTCGGTTACCGGTTACCAGCCCTATTGGTATTAATCTCACCGGGCCCCACGATGGGCGCCAATTGTTGATGCCAAGCTCCGACGAGCCTGCTTCAATGTGTTTGAGGTCCGATGAGAGCCGACTTCCTCCTGGTCAACGTCTGCCACCACCAGCCTCCAAGATGGACACCTGCAAAAGAGGGACCCGCCGGCCGGTGGTCGGCGGGGACCTTCTCTAAAGCTCAAGTCAGTATTTGAGAGGAGAGTAACCGGGAGAGACGTATTAAGCCGGCTCTCGAGAGAGTTTTTGGAAGTTCAAATTGAAAATGAACTGCCGAGAAAGTATAAATGAGCGTCCTATTTATAGGTGCCTCCTTCTTCTGGCATGGATTGCGTGTAAGGAATAAAATAATATAAAAAATTCTTTCATCTCACCACCAACCTAATGTGCAATGGATGGTAGGTAAAGAAAGAAACACACATTTACCTACCTTGTGCCTTTCACGTCCAGGTGTAAGAGTGAAGTGGATGATGGTAAACAAAGACATTTCCATCTTCCATGTAAAAATGAGTTGGCCATCTAGGTGAGTTGTATGTGTACCCTTAATCCCCCATGTGTACGTGGCATTAGAGGGAGATGAGAGGCTGTGGTTGTTTGAGGACACAACCCTTTCCTCTTTTTAAATCCACGTGGAGGGAATTGGAGTCTGGAGACTTTGTTTTGTGGAAGGCTTATTTAGCACCCAATCAACCATGGATGGATAGTATAATATAAAGAGAAAGACACTCACCTTTTCTCCCTTTATGCGTGTGGGTTAATGGGTAAAACTTACAGAAGAAATCAATAGGGAGCAAGTCCATGAGTAATGACTAGCCTAGCTTGCATCCACGTGTCACAATGGATATGGTATGCTAATTGTGTTTTTATTGGTAATTACTCTGATAGAAACGACGTATTGTATCATGTCAGTGAATACTGGGTCCATCACAAGAACTTGGTGACGAAGTCACAATTTCATTCAATCTTCTCTGCCCTTTATACGAGGCTTTCAAGCCCTTAAAATAAACTCTTATATATGTTAATTAACCCTAAACAAACAAGGAAAGACGTTAGGTTCTGGTTGTGGAAGGAAGTCTTCTTGGTATGAGAAAGCTTCTTGATATCCCCATGGTATGGTTGTTCTTCATGGAAGGAAAATTGGTCATAGAACCCGAATCCTTGGCTTTCACCGTCTTGATTGCTCCATGTAGTCTCGGGGTAACCGCACTCGGGTGTTGGTGTATACGTCCACATGTTGGTGAAGTCATAAGGATCCATGATTCAATAGATATAGACAGAAAAACACAAAAAAGAAGATCAAACAAACACAAACCACCCTTCTGAGCGAAGAGTGAGACAACAAAACACAATACAATATGTACAAAACTAAATGTGGAAAATAAAGTAAAAATAGCTAAAGTAACAAAAAAAGCCTTTTCTCGATAACTTAGAATTCCCCTGCACTGGTGCCAAATACTTGACTCAACTCTAACTACAGTCCCAATTGAAGGCCAAGTATAACCAACGATCGGATGTAGTATAAGAGATGTAAAGTAATAAAATTATCGAACCCGGTCTCTAGATGTACCTTTACTTCAACTTCGGCTCGTTATCTAGCCAAACAAGAATAATGATTAAGAAACTAACCTAACTAAGCTACTCTAACTAATTACAAGGTGGGAGCTCACTTAGGCATGAATCTCCTTAATTCCTTCATTTGGTCGATGTTGATTACTTCTCTAGATTGATTGACTTGATACTTCTTCCACACAGATTAGAATCTAGATTGGACTCCCTATTCGAGTTATCCAACCTTCTCAATTGCACTACCTGGAGAGGCTTACCATACAACCAGCCTACACAATTGAGGTGTTCACAACCAACTCCATGATTTGGCAAAACCGAATTCAACATCACGTACCCGATCACACTCATTAATAGACTCACAATAATGTTTTGGTAGTGCTCTATTCAACCTAGGGAGATATTCTCTCTCCTAACTCAAAAGCCTCAAATTGAGGAATGAGATCAAGGTCCCGCAATTGCATGATAAATACTCAAATCAATAGGTAATAAAGAATCACAATCATAGGATTGTCACTAGTATCTACAACCAATCCAAAATCTAGAATTAGGGTTCATCAACCTAAGTGAAGAGTGCATGCTAACTCATAGAGAAGATAGAGATTACGATAAAATGTCCAAAATATGAAATCTTCATGGCTAGGGGTGATATTCAAGCTTCAATGATTATCCAAACCTCCAATCTATCACTCTCTCTCTCTCTCTCTCTCTCTCTCTCTCAACCAATTCTTTGGTGTTTTGGGTCGAAACGTGTTGATGAAAAAATCAAGGACTCTGTAGTATCCACATGTCAAACACCAGTAGACTTGTACAAGTGAAGAATGAAAGATAATATGCTCCCTAAAGCGGAAAATGAGCAAGCCAAAGTACGATGAAGTTGAGATCAGTTGCGTGAAACTCCAGTAGTGCAACCTCAAAAGGTGATTATCCTCAACGCCGTTTCTTTTTCATTCGCCTAACTGAACTTATCATGAATCGCTGATACAAAAGTACTTGCTATCCAAAGTTTTGGACATGTATGTCAAATGTATGTATAATCAATAGTATCTAACCAAGTTTTGTCAAGGCAAGAGTTTTGCTAGTATCCGATTCCCGAGCCCTGCTCTACTGTCTCCTAATCAATCCAAAATCTAGAATTAGGGTTCATCAACCTAAGTGAAGACTGCATGCTAACTCATAGAGAAGATAGAGATTACGATAAAATGTCCAAAATATTAAATCTTCATGGCTAGGGGTGATATCCAAGCTTCAATGGTAATCCAAACCTCCAATCTATCACTCTCTCTCTCTCTAGAAACCTTTTTTTTTTGGTGTTTTGGGTCGAAACGTGTTGATGAAGAAACCAAGGACTCGGTAGTATCCAAATGTCAAACACCAGTAGACTTGTATCAGTGAAGAATGCAAGATAATATGCTCCCTAAACCGGAAAATGAGCAAGGCTAAGTACGACGAAAGTGAGATCAGTTGCGTGAAACTCCAACAGTGCAACCTCATAAAGGTGATTATCCTCAACGTCGTTTCTTTTTCATTCGCCTAACTGAACTTATCATGAATCGCTGATACAAAAGTACTTGCTTTCCAAAGTTTTGGACACGTATGCCAAATGTATGTATAATCAATAGTATCTAACCAAGTTCTGTCAAGGCAAGAGTTTTGCTAGTATCCCATTGCCAAGCCCTGCTGCGGTGCCTCCTAAAGGGGTAACATTGTGAGCAACAACGTTCTATGGACTAGAAGGACCAAATTTGCATCAATATAATCTGTACAAGCTCTACCCTTTACCCTCTTCAAATAGTCAATGCTTCTGAGACAGGGTTTGTTAGCCAGTGCATTCTATCTTCAGGAATCACATTGCAGCTTTCATCCCTTCTCAACTGCTTCATTGCCCCCAGAACGCCTTAAGTGGATGGATGACTTTCAGCAGTGATGGATTGCCTAATAAACCACCCCAATAGACTTAATATATTCAGAAAAGTGCACTCCACACAGCTCCTTCCCCTTCCCCACACCTTTCATGGACAAATTTTATCTTCTCCACTGATTTGCAGATCCCACTGCAGCTCCAGTCAAAGGATGCAACGCATACATTTCCAGCCTGTGCTTTCCACTCACAGTCTGCAATCCCCAAATTTACACATGCCTGTTAGACCACCCACAATCCTACCAACGAAATTTTTTGTTTCAGAGATGCAGCTAGACAACTACATTAAAAATGTATTATTGTATCTCCAAACTTCAACACTTTCTCAACATGCAAATCTTGATCTTCAGTTCCAACCAAACGATTCTTGTTTCTAAGGGAGCTTACCACCATGAGAAATTAAGAGAGTATCTCATGTTGAAGCTACAAGAAGTTTTTTGATTACCTGGTGGAGTCCCACAACACATATTCCTGTCATCAATGTGCTCAACCTCAAGACCAATCAACCAAGAACCCAGAGATACATCTTCATTGGCATATTTGTGAAGTAATGGCCTGTAGTGATCAATCAACAGAAGATAGGACTTTTAGCTGACATATAAGTATATAACTATGCACAATTTGTACAATCACAGTGGCAGTGGGATATAATGGTCCCATTCGAAGCTTCGAATTTGTTTGGCTACACTCTTGTCCCAGATGCAGTCACAATCATATACTACTCTGTCAGACATTTCATGTTTTTGCTTTGTTTGTCCTGACCTATCTCTTGAACCTGTGTTTTTCAATTTATTGATCTGTTAAGTGAGACAAAAATAAAAAACTAATTTGTTAAAGCCGTAATTCGACGAGATTCAATCTTTTACTGACCTTCTGGTCACTTTTTTCTTTTTTTGGACGAAGCTTTCTGGTTACTTTTGACAAACTGATAAGATATATCTTCAACAAATGGAAGTAAATGTGAGCGATGAAGAATTATATGCTGACAAAGCCTGTTATGGACAAACACATGAAGATAAACACGTTCTTACTGGTTGATAGAGATGTATGTTGCAATATCTTTCGAAATAGCATATATTTGTCCTGTTGCATGTCGAAAATATTTGTTCCCTCCTTCCCCGAATTTCCAATATTCCGGCTCGTGATACTTGACACTCCTGAACAAAGAAACTGAGTTAGACTCAAGGTCTATGAAGGTGGTAGCGTAGCACCAAACAGCTACCATCACTACACTGAGAGAGGGAAAGGATTACTTCTGCGAAAGAACAGGCCCTGATTTCATGCATCCAATATACACCCTAGGCTTTGAGCGGTGACGGGCAAGGGTAGCAGCTAGTGTACCTAATGTGGAAACAGAAGTTAAACTTTGAGATATAAAGGTCAAATCGTCTGTTTACAGCAGTAGCCGACAAGATAAGTGTATGAGAGAATGACCAAACAAAAACTGCATACCCAAATTGACATGAACATCATCATCGACCTTCACATAGAACTCAGCATCCCATTTCGCTACTGCAGTGGAAAAGAAAATCTTTGTTTTTGCAGAAAGTTCATGGTACCCTTCAACATGTTCCTACGAGATGATAAAAATTGTGACCATGTTGCACTGTACTTCCCAGTTTTGTCAGTAAAATATAGCAGAACCATATGTCCTCCTTACCAGCCTTAGGAAGTCTTGATGCTGAGCATCTTCAGAATCAATGGCACGATCAAGAATGCTATTGGATGTTGCACTGCAACCAAAATGTAGGCCAAGTCCATAAATTAACACGGAAACAGAAACTAAGTTTGCTCTTAAGCTAGCTTCAAAGCATCCAGGGTTTGATCTAAAAATGAAAACACAATTAAAGTTGATAATTCCCATGCATCCGACCACAGAAGATTTATCCAACTTAGTATAGCTACTGCGTCAATTAAGTGCTGGAGATTTAATTTACCTATGACCAATCATGAAACGGATAACAATCCCTTTCTCCCTCTCCAGTTGGACGAGTTTGTCTCCTAAACGAAACACCAAAGCCACTAGAGGTTACCATAAAGTAGAATCAACACAACCTTTAAACCCTAAACAAGAAAGGGCCGAAGGAGAGGATACAAACCCTGTGGCATCCATGTCTCTCTAACTGAATCACGCCTCTTCCTGCTGCTAAAAGCGGTGTTAATCCCAATAACCATGAAAACCTTAGGCCGAGGCGCACCTTCATGTGACAAGCCAGTCACAGAGGTAGCTGCAGCAGAGGCACCTAAGCTCGTCATCTCATGAGAACTCCGAGAAGCTGCCAATTGCATCTGAAGCATTGCAATCGACTTGTCTAGAGATCTGAATTTGATATTTAAGAATCAGATTGGGGGCACAGATAGACAGACAGACAGACAGACAGACAGACAGACAGACAGAGAGATAGATATTACAGCCTGCGGTCTAACAAATTGAAAGCATAGAGCATATATGTTTCCAAACTCACTGAATGGCGTCGTGGGTCTTAAGAACTTCATCCATCACATCTTTTCCCTGTGAAGGGAGGCTTTTCTTAATGCAACCGAGATAAAGTAACCGATAGGTGATCACGAAGGCAAAGAACGGAAAGGGAATCAGAAAGCAAGACCAACCTTCTTAGCAGCTCTGGAATCTTCAGATACCGCCTGAAATTCTTCTTGTTCACGTCGGCGCTGGGATATGAGCTGCTGACCATTGGATTCGTACGGAACCCATATCCTGAAAAAGAAGGGGGGCGAAAAGAACATCAACAAATGGTGGATCCAGGCCAGATGAAGCAAAAGGGGGGAATACAAAAAACCTGTTAGAGAAGACAAGTCCAAGTGCAAAGCAGAAAGCACAAATCAGCGGAATCCATTTTGCAGAGATTTTGGTGCTGCCGCTGCTATTGTTGCTGCTTCGAGTCTTCATCACCGCCGGCGGGGGTGGGAAAGGAAGCGAGAGAAAGCGCGGACTTCCGTCGGGCCGGGGAAAGGCGGAATTATATAGAAGAAATTTGAACCTTTTTTTTTTGGCGTTTGGTCGCAAACGTGAAGGACGGGAACAGGGAAAAAGACGAATGAATATTCAAATGGAGGGAATGGAATAGAGGTCAAAGGTACGCGCGATTAGAGGGAATAGAGTCCGAGTTGGTCAGGGCGCCGTGGATTTGACGTCGACGCCTCCGACCCAATCACCGGCGCCGGCGTTTCGTCTTTCCACAGCCGGCCCTCCCGAGTGACGTTTTATTTCATATATATAATATATATACCCGACCCGTAACCGTATGCCTGTCCAGCGTGCTGCGTACACGTGGATGCGGAAGGAAGCTGTCAGCGGAGTTTGTAATGTAACGATCGTTTGTTGCTCGCGATGTTACCTGGGCCGGCGGATGGATCAAGTCATGTCAAGTGTCTTCGTCTTCCGTCAATTTTGCTTGTTATGAACAATTTGTTTTTCTTTAATAGCTCTTGCAACTCCAAAAGGGTTTTGCACACTTCATGGGCGTTCAGCAAACCCCGCTCCAGACCCAGAAGAGAGTAAGTGAAATTGTGCGCTTTTGATTGGTATCACGGTCCAAGTCCAATGTTCACGGCTGTTAACTTGGATTTTGAAATGCCTTCGATCTGGGTATATAAAGAGCACTGAGCTGAAAGAGAGAGGATAGAACATAGTGAGTGAGACTCATTCTTCTTTAGATTTTTAGAGTGAGAAAGTGACGAGCAAGAGAAGAGAAGAAGTTAGGGTTTCATTCCAAGAGAAACGTTTTGGGAATTTCTTCCTCCAAGGTTGATCTCCACACCTCAAGGAAGAAGGCAAACAACTTCAAGATGGTTTTTTCTTCTCCTTAGTGTACTCCTTCTACTTAGCATAGAGTAGTCTCTTCTTTCACTTGGGTGTTTGTGAACCCTAGCTGTAATTATGTGAATGTTTGTATGGATTGAATGACTTGTGTGTGGTTGTGTTTTAATAGAAGTTATGAGGTATTTTCATAAAGGTTGTGTTGTGTTTATGAATTTCCAATTCTTATGTCATTTTGACCTAGATAGAGGAAAATTCCCTTCTTGTTAAGAGGCTTGTAAAAACTGGACTTCCTTGGCCAAATTGTGTCACCTACTTAGGTTGAATTAGGGCAAACCTCTTAATTCGTATTAGCATCTTGGGTAGGTTGTGTTTTGGTCGTCCGGACTACGGTTCGAGGGAGAAGCCCAAGTAACACTTAGTCGATTGGCCAAGAGAGCTACCTTGGTAGCTTGATTCTAAATCCCTTGGCTTAGTGACCGAGAGAGTGACACTTGCTCACTTATTGCACTTCCCTATGGTTTACAACCGCCTTTACCACACATTTACAATCGATCCGACAAGTCATGATCACTAGTTAGGGGGAGCAACACCCGGGTGAAGCCTTCTCAATTAGTGTTCAAAACCATTTACTTTTCCAATAGCTTTAGCTTTAAACCATAGTTTTAACCAAAAACCATTTGTTAGATAATGTTTCAAACAATCGAAGTAGGGGTACATGGACTGACCGGGGTTTGACTTTTGAAACATACTTGCTCTATATTGCACCTTGTTAAGGTTTATACTTGGGTCTTAATCAAGATTTTTATTGTGATATTCGGGATGAGTCACGTCACTAACTTAAGCCGAGCTCCATAGGTCGAGCCTAAGGATGGGAATGCGCTTTGAGAAAAGTTTGTGTAAAGTGAGTTCATGATCTTTTTATCATCCTACCCTTCTCATACTACCTTTCATCTTCACTTTACACTTTTTTCCCCTTATGGGCTAGACAAGGAAGTGGATATCGCTTCCACTCTAGCCAAAAGATAGAGCCCGTGTGTTTTGCAAAACTGTAGGTGAGACGCCATGAGCGGCAAAGTTAAGTTGAGTCCTGAAAGTTTGAGCCCTTTGAAATAGGAGCACCACCAAATGAGTCCATTGTTTTCAAACATTTTTTGGAGTCCCTTCGTACACATGTCACGTGTCTTGGCTCCACTAGTCGGCAAGGTCCCAACTTGAGATTGTGCTTAACATCGAGGTGGTTGGGAGATTTTCTTTTTCTCCGGTTGACCTTGTAAGTTGCTAATTGACCCACTACCGACGATCTAGATTGCATACTATCACGAGAGTCTAGCATGTTGAACCGGTTTGAGATAGGTTTGCTTGGGGACAAGCAAATAGTTAAGTGAGAGCGGAGTTTGATTCGAGCTTAATTATACATGTTTATACCCTCTATCTTTGATCGTTTGACTTAATATTTTTCATTATGTAGCCCATTTCACGCTAGTTGTGCTTGGTTTAGTATATTTAAGATCTTAGATGGTGAATACGGCGAAAGGAACGATTTTCAGAAAATTTAGATTTAAAACCAGAATAAAGACAAGAAGTTTCAAAGTAAAAATTCAGAGCACCAATGTCATGAGCAAACCATGACATCCACAGAAGCGCCCGTGAGATTCACAAGGTTCCAGGAGCAAAGCCATAGGTTGTGAGCGTTTGAAGAAGTCACGGTTTCAACCATGTTAGTTACAAAAGAGATCATGATATGTGTAAATGAAACAGTGCGCCTTGGGTCGACATCATGGTTTCAACTATGACATTTACAAAAAAAGACCATGACTTGTGAAAATGAAACTGTGCACTTTTGATCGACTTTACGGTTTCATTTTCAATGTCATAGTCATGATGTGCGACCACGACTTGCAAACTTCTATATATAAATTGGAGCTACAACCATTTCTTGAGAGAGACGAGTTTTAGAGTGAAAAACATGCAGCAACCTCCCAGAGAGGGAAAGAGACGAACAAGAAATCCTATGTGGTGATTGGAGACTTCAATCTTCAATTGGAGACTAGATCATCATCAAGGAGAGTAGTTTAGAGATCAAGAAGAATAACTCATTCCCACAAGATGTTTACTTTTTTTGAGTTTGTGATTTCACCTCTTTCTCTCACTATAGAGTAGACTCCATTCTCACTTAGATGTGTAGCTAATAATACTGAATTTGCACATGCATTTCACATTGTTTCTTGATCATTTAAGCTTTCATTATCACTTATTTGGCCCATTTTACTCTAGTTTTTGTTCCTTTGTCACATTTCATGTCCTAACACGTAGAGTGAGCATAGGCCCAAGTTTCAAGTCAATCGGAGATCAATTGGCAACTTGGGGGAAGAAACTTGGCCATGACCCAAGGAAGAATGGATTTCAACCTCAATTATGAACAAATAATATGCGAAATAGGCATGAAAATCATGAGGACAAAACTACGAGTGTCTGGGATCAAACGGTGACTGATTCGGAGTTCGGATGAGGGAGAAATACTGAAAGATAGCAGCCTACTCCCAAGTTACGGGTTGGCCTTCAAAGTGACGCAAAATCCCGTAACTTTGCCATTTTTGGCCGTGACTCAGGCGACGGGAGGCAGAACACATTCTAGAGGTTGCGGCCTGAACGCCAAAGGTTACAGTCGTAACTTGGCTTCTGGGAGCTATTTAAACGCGTTTTTGCAACTTTTGAAGGGGGAGAGAGCGAGGTTTTGGATCCCAAACACCCAAGGGAGATGAACCCTAGAGACAGAGAGCAGCTTGGGATAATTTTTGAAGCTATTTTAGAGGATTTCTTCACCATTGGAGCTCAAAAAATCAAGCTTGGAGATGGAGATTGAAGATCTAGATCAGATTTCTACATTCTCTCTCTTCTCTATGGAGTAACTTCCCTTCACTTAGCTTTTGAGGAACCCTAGATTTGTATGTTAGGAAGAGTTATATGAACCCATTTTCATGGATGATTGATTATCTTATATCCAATTGAGGCATTACTCAGAATTGGAGGAGTCCTGATCAAATTCTTGTGATTCCCTCTTTAACCTAGAACGATAGTCTCAACATAGGTTAAAGAGCAACCTGAATTGAAAGTAGTGAATTGATTGCTTTAGTCGAGAAGTCAATTTAGTGCTCTGTAAGGGTGTAAACCCAGTAGAGGAAGTTTGAATCTTATTGCCTTGGTTAGGTTATTCCATTGGAGGCTAGCTGCCCACTGGGTAATCTATTCAAGAGGGTCTGGAACACTTTAGTCGAGACTCCACATTGTTTGAGAACTTTCCCAGTGTAAATGTCAGCTGAATTGAATTGGATGAATTACAACTTGACCTAACTGCAATCTAGGGGGAATCATACCTAGTGAGTTCCCAACCTGTAATTAGATTACATTTAACTGTAGTTTGCTATAGTAGTTATAGTTCTTCTATCTCAATCTGGTTTGCTAGGTAATGAACTGAAGCTGAGTAATAGTAACTCTAGAGACCTGTGGATTCGATATTTATTACTTGTGCCACAATACTACAATCCCTTTCAGTGATTACACTTGGACATTGTTAGGAGCTGTGTTTTAGCAAGTCAGTAGCTTTTTAGCAGTAGTATAACACTGGTTCTAGTGTTAACTTGATTGAAAAGTAGGATAGGTGGCTGTGATGATTGACAAAAGAGCAGAGATTAACCATGCTGGTAACTCTGAAGAATGGTGGCTAAATATTGGTATCTCGAAGCATACTAAGACATATGCTATTAAGAAAGTGTTGTTGAGTATTGCTCACTCCACTATTGATCATGGTCATGAGAGTATGCATATGATGATAAATTTAAAATGTTGAATTCTTATGGTTCTTGCATACACGTCTTTGACGTATATCTTGAGGAGTTGAATAGCTAGGGTCGCATTCTCATAATGGTTATATGATTTCCATAGCTAAGCTAATAGACCCATAAATATGTGATTAGAGAATCATAATCTTTGATCTGACACATTAAATATGGGTAAACGTGATGAAATGCTTATTTGGAATGGCTTGAAATGCTTTATCGCATTATTATTAATTGCTCTGATTATTAGGTTGGCTGGTAGAAGAATTTGAGAATCGGTGCTGTATGATTATAATCATATGATTATATGTTTATTGGATATGCTATACTAAAACACATAAGCCTATAAAATGAAATACTCATTAGGTTGTGAAATCCATTGATACCAATAGATTCCATTTATATTAAGAAATAGTGGGGGTGATATCCTGCCTACTATTAGAAATAATGGATAACTAGTGGGGGTGATGAATTTGGGTATGAACTCAGAAGAGACAAATGAACCATAAATCACGAAAAGATTTTGGTTATGAATTTTTTATTTACACACTAAGAAAGAAAGATCCTACAAGTCTGCTATAAGTTC